CTCCCTTTCCCGCCCCCCCCCCCCCCCCCCAATATCTACCAAATGGGTTTTGCATTTGGGAGAGTCTACTGCAAGTTCAGGGTGAGAAAAAGGGGGACAGACTGTTCTAGGGACACAGATTGTTCTGTGTGGTTGTGTACAGACAGGAAAAATAATGGCAGCCCCCCCCCCCGAAAAAAATGTGCCCCACAAGCTACAAAAATCCTGGCTACGGGCCTGAGTACCACTGAATGCTTTGCCTTTCTAATGAGCGGCATTTCCACTAGTTCTGGGATACGTTTAGTAACGCCAAAATTCATGGACTTTAGATGTTGGCAGCGAAATAATCAATTTATTAGCTTTCATTTTTATGGCACTTTGAGGGGAGTCTTCACACGCGCAGTCAGTTTCAGGAGACGGTTTGCATATGTCCATGGACCGTTGCTGACAAAACTTGCATCTCCCCCCCCCCCCTCCAAAGTCCATCTCAGAGCTGTTCACTGGAGTCAGTTCACACATTCAGCAGCCAGTGTGCAGTGTTCAAATGCAGGAAACTGAAAAGTTGTACATATATGTGTAAAACGGCTTATGGATGTGTTGAAAGTGTACGTTAGCTGGTAGTTAACAGGTGATTGTTTTCTTTCACCCCACCATGGCTGCCCATATTGCTGTTGGGCTGGGGTACGATTTGAGGTGATTAACAATGTGGTAACTTAGAGCAGTTTCACACACTCAGATCACCATAAACTAAACCTACCTCACAGGGTGTCTGTTGTGGGGAGGGGAAGGTAAAGGAGTTTGTAAGCCGCTCTGAGACACCTTTGGGTAGTGAAGGGTGGGGTATAAATCCAATCTCTTCTCTTCTTCTTCTTAAACTTCAGTTACCATGTAAAGTGGCATATGAAATCCCCCCTAAAACGCATTCTTTCACAGAATGCCAGTTTGGCGTAATGGTTAAGAGCGCGGACTCTAATCTGGGAGAACCAGGTTTGATTCCCCACTCCTCCACATGCAGCTGCTGGCATGACCTTGGGTCAGTCATAAGTTCTTTCAGAGCTGTTCTGTCAAGGGCAGTTCTCAAAAGAGCTCTCTCAGCCCCTCCTACCTCACAGGGTGTCTCCTGTCGGGATGAGAAGGGAAAGGGATCGTAAGCCACTCTGAGACTCCTTTGGGTAGTGAAGGGCAGGGTATAAATCCAGTCTTTTCTTCTCTTCTTCTTCTGCAAATATACAGACTTCTTGCTAAAAACACTACATAGTTCATGCTTTGGGGGAAGGGAAAGATTAAATGTTTGGTAGACGGCTTATAAGTTTGAATTGGGCACCAGCTCTTTTCTTAAACAAATCAATAAAAAAACCCAAGTTAATAAACATGAAATCTCTTCTGCTATTCTTAACCCAATATCGTCATAATCCACAAGAAAGAATGTTCTCCCGCTGAGCTGCAACAGATGCAAAGTTCTATTTTTGAAATGCTTATTTCAAATCACTTCCATGAGAACAGGAGGTAAACTTTTAGAATTGCGTCTTTGCTGACCCAAAGTGATGGGCGGCTTACATTATCCTTGGGGTGAAACGTGTGGGTTTTTGAAAGGAGACGTAGAACCACGTGAGAAGGTACGACACTTGATCCCTTTCCTACAAATAGAGAGAGGAGGGATGAAGACACAAGCACACCTTCTCGCCTTCTGAATCAATCCTTCCTGATTCCCTAAATAAAACTTGACAATTGACTGTGCAATCTGAGTTACATATATTGGGCTTCATGCATCTAGACCATGTTAAAATGTCACTCCTTCACTTGGACTCCAGGCGATATCAGAGGGAGGCAGGAAAGTGAGGTGGGCAGGAAGAAGAGAGAGAAGAAGAGATTGGATTTATACCCCGCCTTTCTTCTCCCAGATTAGAGTCCGCACTCCTAACCACTACACCAAACTGGCTCTTACACCAAACTGGTAAGGCATGCTTGTGCCCCCATTTCTCACCAACCATAGGGGAGCAATCGGGGGCTGTGTCACCTGATCCAGCTGACAAGCACAGAACTTCAGGTGTAAAATTTTAGATTAAGTTATGTGATCAAAAGAAGAGAAGACAAGCAAACATGGCCCTTTTCATGTGTTTTATATCCTTAGACTCACAAGACTTAGGGTTGGGTCCTCCAGACAACCTTTTTTTGCTCAAACGTGGCCTATTCCCCTGCTTTCTACACTCCCCATTCCACATGGCTTTTGCTCCACGCAGGTCCCATCATCCCCAGCATAGTCTTATTGGTGGTCAGAGGGGAGCACTGTGTACAGTTCTGCTCACCGTATCTCAAAAAGGACATTGCAGAGCTGACTAAAGTACCGAAGAGGACAACCAAGATGATTAGGGGGTTGGAGCACTTTTCCTGTGAGGAAAGGCTGAAGACTCTGGGTCTTCTTGGTTTAGAAACACAACGACGAAGGGTGTGCGTGATCGAGGATTATAAAATTATACACGGGGTAGAGAGAGTGGACAGAGAGAACTTTTTCTCCCTCTCCCCAAATACTAGAAGTCAAGGGCATCCAATGAAGCTGATAGGCAGTAGGGTCAGGACGAACAAAGGGAAATACTTCTTTACACAACAGGTGATTAAAGTGTGAAATGTGCTGCCAGAAGATGTAGTGATGGCCACAGGCACAGATGGCTTTAAAAGAGGATTAGACAGATTCATGGAGGACCAGGTCTATCAGTGGCTACTAGCCATGGGGCCTAAAGGGAAACTCCTCATTCCAAGGCAATCAACCTCTGAATCCCAGAGCCAGGAGGAAACATCAGGGGAAGGCCTTGGTCTCTATGCCCTGTTGCTGGACCTGCAAAAGAATTGGTTGGCCCCTGTGTGAGACAGGATGCTGGACTAGATGCACCACTGGCCTGACCCAAGAGGACTCTTCTTATGTTCTCGTTATTCCTTTTTCACTAGTGGACTACTTGGATGTATGCAGCCTTTAGAACTGCTGTTCCTAGTTGACCAATACCCCTCTGTTCATTCGATGCAAGCTAGCAGCAGTTCCAGCAGTTCTCAATTTAGCCAGTTTTCACTGTCCTGAATACATGCAAGCCAATTGCAACGGCAAATGGATAGTCAGCGCACATCCATACAGGCTAACAGGCGCAGAATGCTACCAGGGACCCTGTGGCCTTTAAGCTTCAGCGAGATTCTCCGTCACCTGACCCATCCTTTTGTTCTTTTTCCAGACTTCCAGGGCTTCTCGTTGGGCCGACCCAGACCACTTCGCCCAGAGGCAGAGCTGCATGAACACGTTTGCCAGCTGGTTTGGCTATATGCCGCTGATCCATTCTCAGATGAGGCTCGATCCCGTGCTCTTTAAAGATCAAGTCTCCATCCTGAGGAAGAAATATCGAGACATTGAACGACTCTGAGGAGCCCAGCAGCGGGTGGGGGGAGGGAGGGCAACCGGACTTTTTCCCGCAGCCCAGTGCAAATCCACTGACTCTTGGAGCCAGCCTGGATCCTGGGGGCGGGGGGGGGGACACTTTCAAGATGGCCGTTGGAAAAGCCACCAAAGTGCTGTCTCCCCAGGGGAAACGCGTTGTGCTGGACTGCTTCAAACCACCCTGCAGGGCCGCAGGTCGCTCGAGACTAGGTTGTGTACAGTTTCATTATGGAACATTAAATAATTATTTTTTGAAATGATTGCTATGCAGGTTTAAACTTTTTTAATGATAAAAAAACCTATTAAAAACAGAGTTCTTTCTTTAATCTGAATCGTGTTGATTGTTGTGAGTGTCAGATGCAACGAATTGCTTCGGGGGTGGTTGTCCCCCCCCCCACAGAAAGCTTTTGATTAAGGGGGGAAACATCATCTAAACAGCGGGGCGGGGAGGTACCTCTGTCTCTGTAAGCGAAAGCAAATAATCTAATCTCTTTTAATAGAAACAAAAACTAAAATATATAAATACATACAAATAGAAGGTGCTTAAAAATGCAACAGGATTGGTCAGAACCTCAGAGCCTTGAAGTATGCATCAAATGCTGTTCAACCGCTGACAGAAGCAAATCCTACTTATTCTTTTGTTATCTTAGAAAAACTTTGATTTAGACTGGGGGTGGGACTGAGATGAATTGAGGGTGACTCTCGGCTCCCATTGCACAAGCCACCAGTGGCAAAAGCAATTTCTGGTACTCTCTTGGTGAGTGGATTGGACCCCACTCCATTTTGGCATTTTGCAGAGGATTCTGGTTCTGACCCCCTTGCTCAAGAGAGGACAAAGTGCTTCCTGACCCCCTTGCTCAAGAGAGGACAAAGTGCTTCCTGACCCCCTTGCTCAAGAGAGGACAAAGTGCTTCCTGACCCCCTTGCTCAAGAGAGGACAAAGTGCTTCCTGACCCCCTTGCTCAAGAGAGGACAAAGTGTTTCCTTCCTTGGTGTCCAGTGTGAGGGGAACACAGGTTCCCACTCAGCTCCTTAATTCTGGCTGGTTTTTTAAATATCACACCTTGTACCATCAGTGATGCTTTTGCTTTGCACCTCTGAAGACGGAGCCTCTGCTGCTGCTTCACCTCTCAGGAGCCTTGCGCAAACTGAGAGGATCCCAGCCATGCCCACCTATCCCTTTTGCTTTCGCACAGGGTTCTGAGAAGGGTGGTTCAGCCTTCGCACTTGGCAGGTCTGTCAGGCCAAGCGAGAAGAGGCTGTTTGCTCACCTCCTTCCTGAGACAGAAGAGGTGGTGGCTCAGCCTTCCACCTCAAGCACGAAAACGCTTGGACCAGACCTGGAAAGATTCATTCTCAAGAAGTGATAAGAGAGCTACCTTGGGCGTTTTGGTAGCTTCTTGCTCGGAGTCCTGAGGCAGAGAAAATCTGAAACGACAGCCAGCTGAGGAAAGGCTTTCCCTGTTGACGCTTCGTCTTGAGCAGATGGATGAGGCTTGCTCAGGATCCTGCTTCGTCCTTTAAGCAGCAATCCTGCCTTCCTTTCGCCATGCTTAGGAAGGATGGTCTAGAAGCCCAAGAGACTCCCTTCTCTCCGGAGGCAGATCTTCTAAGCACTGAGACTACCAGGCCGCAAGCAGAGGCTATGGAGCAGCAATTCTTCCTTAAAGGAAAGTGGCACTGCCCAGTGCCAGGGCATCTCCTCACTTCTGCTGCTCTGAAGGTTCCTGAACAAGATATGGCAGAGAGAGGTGGGGAAAAGGCTCTGAGCAGGAGCCAACCTGCAAGGAAGAACAGAGGCTTGCAGCCACATAAAGAGGGAACACTCTCTGTCCATGGGATGACTCCCTCCCTCGCCCAAGGCAAATGTGGCCTAAAAAAGAGCTCCTTATCCTCCTCTACCCAGGTATACAGATGGCGGTCCTAAGGAGGTGAATTCCCCACGTCCTTGAAGGCAGGAAACGCCTTTACCTTCTGAGCACAAATGGATATCCATCGTTCCATCCCAGAATTAAACTCTGCAACTCATAGGCCTGTAATCACAGCATGGAAGCCATGTTGTCTAATACTTCTCAGGTGGTTTTGTGCCTTGATGTTCACAGCTGGTTTGGATCTGGACCCAACTGGCCATCTCCACTGAGTTTTCCTTCCTGCTGCAGACGCCTTCCCCCTTTGTTTTTTGGGATTTCCTATCTCCCAGGAGCGGCATTTCATGGACGTGAGTGGGCTGCAGTGGGAGCGCAGTGGCAGGGAAATTCCACTTTGCTGACGGAAAATTCGCCTGGATTCAATTGAATGACTTGTAAGCACATTGCAATTTAGCACTTTTACCTCCAGAAAGAGCAGTCCTCACAGCCTTAGAGGACTTGTGCACTCAAGCCACGGATCCTGTGCAAACGTAGCTGGAAGTAAACTGTACGGAACAACAGTGGGCGTATTTTCAAGGCCATCCACACATCACTGGGGATTGCACTGTTGTTGCACTGTTAGTTTGTTTACTTCGTTTATACCCTGCCTTTCCCCCCCCCCAAAGCTGCTTACATCATCATCCTCCATTGTGCGTGTGTGATTGCGAGTGGGTGACTGACTCAAATCACCCAACAAGCTTCCATGGAAGACTGGAATCCGAACCTGGATCTCTCAGGTTCCTTGTCCAGTACTGTAACCACTACACCACACGTGCTCTCTCTTTGGCAATCTGTTGGGGGCAGGTACAGACGACACCGGACACCTCCTCCTCCTCACCCCTCCAGATTGTCAAGCCCAGCAGCCAGTAAAGAAGGCCTGTATCCAGCTGACCAATGTTGGCTGGCCCTTTACGAGTCAGCTAGTCACTGACTGCTGGCCCTTTGACACCTGGCAGTATGATAATCAGCTTTTTTGGAAGCTCCACCCAGGGGGCAGGGAAGGGGAATGACAGGGCAGAAATAGCTTAGAAGTCTTCGAGCCAAGATGGCGGAGCTGGAGTGCTTGGTGCTCAATGAAAATTTAGATATAGTAGGTATCTCAGAAACATGGTGGAATGGTGAAAAGCTATGGGGTACAGTCATTCCTGGATATAAGCCCATTCCTGGGATGGGAGAGATGTTGCATTGTACATCAAAGAGGGCACAGAAGCCAATAAGGTAGAAAAGATTAGGGGAATTAACTCCCCAACAGAAGCGATATGGGTGGAAATACTGGGTCCTAAGGGTTACTTAACAGCAGGGGTATACTATAACCCACCTGATCAAACCCTTGAAGCTGATCTTGAGATGGAGAAGGAAATAATGGAGGTGACTAAAACAGATCATGTTATTATACTGGGAGACTTTAACTACCCTCACATTGACTGGGTAAACGTACTTGAGTCATGCTGTAGAAATGAGATTCCTAGACATCAATGACTGTGCACTGGAACAGTTGACCATGGAGCCAACCAGAGGAGTAGTGATCTTGGACTTGGTTCTGAACAGGTCTCAGGACCTGATGAGAGATGTAGAGGTTGTTGCACCAATAGGGAACAGTGACCACAATGCTATTAAGTTCAGCATTCAGGTCAATGGAAAGTTACACCTAAAGTCCAAAATGGTAGCATTTGATTTCAAAAGAGGGAACTTTACAAAAATGGGGGGAATAGTTAAAAGGAAGATCTGTATTGGGGCCGATACTATTAAATTTATTCATAAATGATCTGGAACTAGGGATGAGTAGTGGAATGGCCAAGTTTGCAGATGACACAAAATTATTCAGGATGGTGAAAACCAAGGCTGACTGACGAACTCCAAAAGCACCTCCGCAAACTGGGTGAGTGGGCGACTGTGGCAAATGAAGTCCATTGTTGGTAAGTGTAAAGTGATGGACATTAGGACAAAAAAATCCCATCTTAAAGTATAAGCTAATGAGGTCTGAGGAGCTGCGGTGGCTCGGGTGGTTAAGACGCTGAACTGCAGGCTGTGGAAGGTCAGTAGTTCGGCAGTTCGAGACCCTTGTGCCGCGTAACAGAGTGAGCTCCCGTCTCTAGTTCCAGCTCCTGCCAACCTAGCAGTTCGAAAGCAAGAAATTGCAAGTAGATAAATAGGTACCACTTCGGTGGGAAGGTAACAGCTTTCCGTGCGCCTTGGTGTTTAGTCATGCCGGCCACATGACCCCAGAAACGTCTTCGAGAAGCGCTGGCTCTTCGGCTTTGAAACGGAGATGAGCACCGCAACTCTAGAGTCGGATTCGACTGGCTTTCGAGCAAGGGAACCTTTACCTTTAATGAGGTCTGAACTTGCTGCGACTGAGAGGGGAAACGGTCTTGGGGTCATAGTGGATAGCTCAATGAAAGTGTCAACCCAGCGTGCTGCAGCAGTGAGAAAGGCAAATGCTATGTTAGGGATTATTAGGAGAGGGATTGAGAATAAAATGGCCAAATGCACCTGTGCAGATCTGTAGTGCGGCCTCCTTTTGAATACTGTGTGCAGTACTGGTCACTGTATCTCAAAAAGGACATCGAAGAGCTGGGGAAAGTATAGAAGAGGGCGACTAAGATGATTGGGGGGTGGGTGGAGCACCTTCCCTCTGAGGAAAGGCTGAGGAGTCTGGGACTTTGCAGTTTAGAAAAAAGATGACTAAGGGGCACATGACAGAGGTTTATAAAATTATGCATGGGGTGGAAAGAGTTGACAAAGAGAAATTCTTCTCCCTCTCCCAAAAGACTAGAACTCGAGGGCATCTGGTGAAGCTGACGGGCAGTAGGTTCAGGACGGACGAAAGGAAATACTTCTTCACTCAGAGAGTAGTTAAAATGTGGAATTTGCCGCCAGAGGATGTAGTGATCATTGCAGGAATAAACAGCTTTAAAAGGGGACTAGATAGATTCATGGAGGAGAAGTCTATCAGTGGCTACTAGCCATGGTGACTGAGGGGAACCTCCACATTCAGAGGCACTAAACCTCTGAATCCCAGAGCCAGGAAGCAACCTCAGGGGAAGGCCTTGGCCTCCCTGCCCTGTTGCTGGCTGTCCAGAGGAACTCGGCCACTGTGTGAGGCAAGCTGCTGGACTAGATGGACCATTGGTCTGATCCAGCCAGGGCTCTTCTTATGTTTTTATGTTAAGGTGCCATTGGTCTCTCACAGGCTTGGCCACACACCCGTAGGGCTTTTTGGTAGAGAAAGGCCACTGGGCGTGCTCCTCTATGTGAGGCCAAGGGAATGTGCTTCAGCCGAGCTGGACCGTGATGCATGACAGCTGCAGCCCGGATCCTGCAGGATCCTATGTGTCGACCCAGGACAATCCATTTG